GGAGGGGTGTGAGCAGGGGTGGCAGAACCTGGTTGGTTGGTGGAAGGTGTCACTGGCCTGTAGGCCCGCGGGGGGAGTAGTAAGTGAGCCCATTTCAGCAAACCCCACTTGTGAGCCCTCCTCCCTGGCTAGCCAGAGCCAATTGCAGGGCCGGAGCCCCTAGTCCCTTTCTGAGGGGCCACCCACAGGGTGCACGTAATGGGCTGGCCATAGTGGGTGCTACGACTTGGGAGGAGCCCCTGTGGCCCGCGGCTGGTCACGCTGTCCCTGTGTCTGTTTCCGAATCTGAATCAGCTCACTAGCCATGGGTGCAGGTGACCTGAGAGGGTGCAGGTGACGCCCGCAGCTCACTGGTGGCAGCAGAGGGACCAGCAGTGATTACGGGGCCACAGCCCGTGTCTGGGGGGCCCTCACTTGGCTCACGGGCCTGCTCTGTAGACGAGCAGCCGAGGCCCGGCGTCCAGTGGCCTGGTGCTGACGCCTGGCAGAGCCCTCCCCATGGTCCTGCTCTTGACCTGCCTCAGGCTGCTGTCCCGCAGGAGAGAGGCAGCACCGGCCAGTCCCCACGCCCCCTGGGGGCCGCCCTCCCGCAGCTCCTCGAGGAGGCGCCCTGACCCTGGCCCGTGTGTTTCAGACGAGGCGCGCTCCAAGAAGTGCGGCGTCCTGGTGCACTGCCTGGCGGGCATCAGCCGCTCGGTGACGGTCACTGTGGCCTACCTGATGCAGAAGATGAACCTGTCCCTCAACGACGCCTACGACTTCGTCAAGAGGAAAAAGTCCAACATCTCACCCAACTTCAACTTCATGGGGCAGCTGCTGGACTTCGAGCGGACGCTGGGGCTGAGCAGCCCGTGCGACAACCACACGCCCAGCGAGCAGCTCTACTTCTCCACGCCCACCAACCACAGCCTGTTTCCCCTCAGGGGGCCGCCCTCCCGCAGCTCCTCGAGGAGGCGCCCTGACCCTGGCCCGTGTGTTTCAGACGAGGCGCGCTCCAAGAAGTGCGGCGTCCTGGTGCACTGCCTGGCGGGCATCAGCCGCTCGGTGACGGTCACTGTGGCCTACCTGATGCAGAAGATGAACCTGTCCCTCAACGACGCCTACGACTTCGTCAAGAGGAAAAAGTCCAACATCTCACCCAACTTCAACTTCATGGGGCAGCTGCTGGACTTCGAGCGGACGCTGGGGCTGAGCAGCCCGTGCGACAACCACACGCCCAGCGAGCAGCTCTACTTCTCCACGCCCACCAACCACAGCCTGTTTCCCCTCAACACCCTGGAGTCCACGTGAGGAACCCGGACATCGCCTGTGCCCGGAGGCCAGGCCCACGGGTGCTGAGCGCTCACCATCCGGGACGGAGCCCAGCAGCGCTCCCCGCGCAGGACTCGGAGGGGCCCTGCCTCAGACTCAGGGCTGCGGAGCGGACGGCCTCGTCCTGTCCTCATCCTGTCCGCAGGACGCCTCCTGCGAATGGCCCAGCCAGGTGGGCGGTTTTTAAAGACACCACGGACCGAGTTCGCTTTTTACTTTGGCAGGTAAACCCAAGCCCCGGGGCACCGTGAGGCCACGACTTCTTGACTTTCCTTTTCTAACGAAAAGTGTTATTTTCAGGCCACATGCAGCAGTGGATGTATAAACCAGTATTTCATCCCTTTCTTGATCCTGCGAGAGAGAGAAGTGTTCTCAGTTTTGTTTTCCTTTCTATTTCCAAACGCCGTTACTGGTTTTTTGTTTGCTTTTTATTTTAATGGAAAAGACGAACCCCGTGTTGATCTTGACCAAATGCATTTTGCACATGTGTGAAGCCTGTTTCCGCGGCGGGCCCTTCTCGAAGGGGGACCCCGCCGCGCCCATGCCCCCCAACCCGGCCCCGCCCCTGTGGCCCTGCGCTGGTCTGGTGAGGCTGTGGGTGCGATGGGGCTGGGCCAGTGGTCTCTGCATTCTCTGCCCCCCCTCTCCTCCCTCAGGCGGTCCCGCAGGCTAACCACCACGGGAGCCGGAGGCCTGCGGCTGTCCTGCCGGTGGAGAGGGGGAGGAGGGGACGGGGCCACGGGACACACGCAGTAGCATTAGCCCTGTGGGCTCGGCCCCTGGGAGGGCCTGGGCCCGGGCCTTTTCTCTACAAACCCACTATTCTGTCTCTTCTCTCTGTCTGTTGGTAACAGTGGAGGCCCGGTGGCTGGGGGAAGCTCAGGTGGTGGGGGCCCCGCCCTGCCTCCCAGGTGTCTGTCCATCACCCTGGCTGTTGCTTTGGGTCCGCTGCCACTCCCAGCCTCTTGGTCCAGTGAGGCCTGCCCAGCGCTCATCTTGCCCATCCTTCTGCGACCGGGAACCTCGTACCCATCCCATTTCCATCCCAGGCAGGCGCAGAGGGGCGAGGGTGGATGGGCAGTGAAAGGGGTGCAAGGCTCTGCCCTCCGGCCCCACCCCCGTATCCGCAGAACAAAGCCACGGGTTCCGCTAGCCTCCAGTTCTGTTCCTTCTCCAGCCTCAGTTCTCCCGGGTGTCGGGACCGCGTGGGGCCAGGGCAGGGAGCGGGCGGCCGGGTCCCTGAGCAGGGCCGTGGCCCCTCTGCCCCAGTGCATCTTACCTCTCGGGGGTTGTTTTCAGGGATTCTTCAAGGCAGCGGATTCAAATCTTGCCACAGTCGAGAAATTGACAAAAAGCTTCCATGCTGTACATGGTTCTCTTTCTCTCTCTTTTTTACTTTTAAAGAGAAAAACCCAGAAAGATGCGTCAGCTTTGTGTAAATGAGAGTATGCCAGAGGGGCCAGTTTTGCTTTATGACCTTATGAAGGAAAATTTGTGACCCTACATGTATGTACACACACACATCCCGAGCCAGCGACGGGACTTTGTTTATATTGCAAATAAATATTATTTTTTCTTTAAAATGAATTGCGGTGTCTGAAGGGCCAGGGACCAGGGGACACTGGCCAGCATCCAGCGCCTGTTCTGTGTGAAGTGGTGGCTGGGGTCTGCTGGCACTTGCTCCGCTCGGTGGGCCGGGCATCTGCTTTCTCTGGTCAGCATCCAGCGCCTGTTCTGTGTGAAGTGGTGTCTGGGGTCTGCTGGCACTTGCTCCGCTCGACTTTCTCTGGGCTTTCGCTGATTGGCTGACAGGAGAAGGGGCTTGGCGGTTTCGTGGACCAAGGTCCCAAAGCTGAGCCCCGCTCTGCATCTCCCGAGTCCGTCTGCCGGGACATTGTCCAGGTCGCCCAGGGCTCTGCCCTGCAGCCCCAGGCCCTGTGGGTGGGACAGGGGTGCCCACTGATCACCCTCCCCTCCCCCTGCAGCACCGGGGTGCCAGGGGGCATGAAACCTGTCAGGGACGGGTGAGCCTGCTGCTCCTTTGGGACTAGGTGACCTGCAGGTCCCTCAGCCTCCCTGAGTCGGTTCCCATCTCTGTTGAGGGGGGCCAGCCGCCCAGACACCCAGTATCCATTTCCTGGTCAGCCTGGGCCTAGGGGGCAGTTGGCCATCCACGCAGGGCCTCTGGGGCTCAAGGCTGGGCCCGCAGAAGGATGGTGCCATGCCCGGGGCAGTGAGGCCTCGGTGGTGACAGCCCAGGTTACAGACGGGGAGATGGGCTTCAGAGGGGCTCACGTCTCCTTCATCTCTAACTGGATTGAGTGGCCCAGTCAGGGACAAGGAGGCTTGGGTGCTGACTCGGTTTCCCCATCTCTGCCTCTCACGTGACTTGATCCCTTCCTTCCATGTGACCTTTCCCAGGGGTCGCTCCAGGCTCTTTCTCTCCCTACCCCCGCTCTGCCTGGAGGGAACCTGACCAGAATGACCAGAACCATGGCACCGGCAAGCCTGTGTGTGGGGCAGAGGGCCGGCTCTGAGCGAAGGGACCTGGGCCACGTCCCGGCTGTGTGGCTGCCAGCCCCTACCCCTCTCGCTTGGAATGTGGGCACTGCGGGGTGGCCAGCAGGCCCGTGCAGGGGGGCGGGGGCAGGGGGCGACTTGCATCCTTGGCAAAGGGGTGGGTGCCGCTTTAGCTCCTGCACTTCCTCGGAGGCCTGGTCCTTCTGTGCCAGGGCGGGCGAGGGGGTGGGAGCCTGGGCAGGCAGAGACTGGGCCTTTGTTCGCTCTCACTGTGCTCGCCAGGGATGGGGAAGCCCGCGGGTGCCCGGCTGGGGGCTGGGCCCTCGACAGGCTGAGTAAGTGCCTGGCAGTGCCAGCGTGCCCAAGCACAGGGCGGAGGGAGGCCTCCCCCACCGGGCCCTCCCCAGGCCAAGTGGCCTCTCTGACCCTCAGTGTCCTCATCGGCACGGTGCCTGCGGGGACGGAGGGCCCGTCCTGCTGGGTGGCTCACTCTGTGACCTTGGGTCCTCACTGGTGGCCTTGAGCAAGGCCATGCTTCCTCTGTGTTCCCCGAGCCCCAGGTTCTCGCTTCCTGGTCCCTCTCTTCTGGCTCAGGGAGCTCGTTATCCCACCTGCTCCTTCCGCGCCCCCCTCCCCCCCACCATGGGCCCTGTGCAGCCCAGGCCGCCCATGGCTGAGGCCCTGGGTGCCTGTGTCCCCTGAGCTGGACGCCAGCTCTCTGGGGTGGAACCGGCTTTGTCTCTGTGTCCTCAGTCCCATCTCTCTCCTCCTGACCTTCCTGAGTCTTTGGGCCCCCTTTTCCTTCTCCATCTCAGCCCAGTTCCCAGCGGCCCCTCATCCATCGCTCAGACACCTCTCAGCGTTCTCACGGGAGGAGGACCTGAGCCACCCACCCGCTCACACATTCATCCCACAGCCATTTCTGGTGCTGGCTGGGCCATCCTGGGAGTGGGGGAGTGGGAACATGCCCAGGGGCTCAGTGATGTCAGGCTGGGCGGCAGGATAATGGGGCCCTCACTTGTCCTCCGACAAATGAATCAGGTGCAACAGCAGCAGTGACTAAGGCCAGACACAAGAACGGACTTGCAGCGTGGGGCACAGTCACCTGGGGGAGGCCTGACAAGACCACAGCAGACTGAGCACTTCCTTAGGGTGGGTCTGCTGAGCGGGGTGGGAGGGGGGGCAGCTTCAGGAGAGCCACCACCCCACAGCCCCTCCCCAGCGAGCACACACAGCCATTCATCCTCATGGAGGGGGCAGGAGGGGGCGGGCAGCAAGCCCGTGTGGCCACTGCCTGGCACCCTCAGGCCTGCCCCCACCCTGTCCGCACCGGGCTGCCCTCGGGTCAGTGTGGATGTGGCCACAACGTCAGCCCCCGCACCCAACCCTTTCAGAAGCCAAAGGCCTGGCGGGAAGCAGGTGCGCCTGGAGGGAGGCACCCAGGAGCCTGTGGTCTGATCTTTGACAGTTTCCCCACTGGTTCTGGGCCTCCTCGGGGCACAGCCCTTTCCCCTCTTCCCAGAGGCCCCGTGGGCTCGCTCCCCTGGAGTTCTGACTGCTGGTACCCGGAGGACCCGAGAGCCTGGGAGAGTTCCGGATCCTCCTGCCCCCCAGCCCTGTGCAGACAGGGAAGCAAGGCTCAGCCGGTCAGAGGGAGGCAAGGTAGAAGCGAGTCGTCCCCGCCTGCTGCCGGCGTCGCTCCTTCCAGATCCTGCCTCCTCCATCCGGCTGGGAGCTTCTCCCTCCGGCCCGTGAGGGACCAGATACTCACGCGCGCGCACACACACACGGCCCCCTCATTTCTCAGATGGAACAGACCCAGCAGGTCTCAGTGATGGAGGAACCTCCTGCTCTCCGGCCTGCAGGCCTTTGCACAGCCTTTCCTCCCCTGGAGTTCTCTGCATCACCCGCACCTCCTGCAAGCAGCTTCCTCTCTCTAGTCACATGCTGCTTCCTCCAGGAAGCCTTCCCAGACTCCTCCCCCAACTGGGGGGCTGGTGCCTGCTCTGGCTCCCTTGGCCCTCTGTGCAGCCCCATCCCCTGGAGGCCTGGTTGGCCAAGGTGCTGGGTCCGGCTGGGATCAGCAGTTCTCTGGCCACCTCCGGGCACTTGCCCAGCTCTGGGCGTCAGGCCTGTGACCTGTGCACATGGCATGTGTCACAGAGTACATGCCGCACTCTGTCTGCCACATGCTGCCCAGGTGCTGTTGATTCTGCACCTGCTCAGAGCTGCGGGGGGACTGGCACCTCTCTGCCCACTGACTGGGCTCCTGCCTCTGTGCCCACCAGGATCGCTGCCTTCCCCTTTGGTGGCAGAGAAGGGCTGGCAGCTCCTGTTTATAAATGCCTGCCGCTGCCTCAGCTAAGTGGAGGGGTCTGGAGGCCACGCTAATTGATTAATTAAGCCCTCTCAGTTAATTAGCTCCATCCCTCCAGGGAAAAATAGCCTCACTCTGAAGCCAGATCTCCTCTGGGCGGGGGGAGGGTTAATTGGCCTGGGTCAGCTGAGCCTGATGCCAGGTGCGGGGGGTAGTGGAGAGGTGGGGTGGGGAGAGCAGTTGTGGGCACGGAAGCCATCCAGGCCGCCAGGCGGGCAGAAGGGGTCCCCAGCTCCTGGTGACCTTGCCCAGCCTCTGGCTCTTCCCCTGAGACCGGAGGGGGCAGGAGCCAGGAAGATAAAACCGTCCACAGTGTGGTCAGCGGCCCACACAGGGCTAGGAAGACTCCAGACCTGAGGCCTTGAAGGGCCACACGAGAGCTTGCTGGACGCGGAGGCCAGGCTTGGAGCTGAGGAAGGACCCAGGCAGGTTTGGGTTTGGTAAAGGTGGTGGGGGGGTTGCTCGGAGGAGAATGAGGGGGGCTGGGAGCTGGCAGGACAGAGGCATCAGGTGTCCAGAGAGAATGACGCCCGCAGGGGTGGGTACTTGGGGGAGGCTAGTGCTGCGCGGCCTGGGCCCCCAGTCCCTTCTCTGGGCCCCTCTCCCCTTGTCTGCGAGGAGGGGGACATTTCCTGGGGCCACAGCCTCAGGCTCAGATGTACCCGGCATGTGTCCTTGTCCCAGGACCAAGCGCCTTCTTCACCCCCCATGCTCTCTGCAGGCTCCCAGGCACCCCTCCTCCCTGGCTCACATGTGTGCACAGAGCAGAGCCCAGCCCCCAACACGGGGTCCCCCCTGCATGCTCTGCAGTATTGTGGGGCCTCCATGGGGTGCACACTGCACTCAGGCTGGCCTGGGAGCGGAGGGGACTGGCCAGGGGTAGGAGGCCGAGAACGCGGGCCTCTGACCGTCGCAGGCAGTGGGCAGGGCTGCGCTTTGGCACGAAGCCTGCCCTGGGCTGGTCCTCAGCTCCCCGAGGGGCTGCCCAAGTGGGAACAATGACCCTTTCACGTCACGCCTCCTCCAGTCACAGCAACTTCGGCGCCGAAGGACAAAGGCGCCGTTTCATCCTTGTTGGGCTGGATCAACAGCCGCTGCCCCCACCCGGCCGGCTGCCCAGCCCGCCCGCCCGGCACTTCTCCCCATCTGGCCTGGCCATGGGCATCCCAGCGACCCTCCTCCGTCCTTCCGTTTCCCTCTGGGCTCCATCAGGCGGGTCAGAGGGTTTGCCATGAGGATGGCAGGCTCTGCCCTGGCCCCCCTGCCCCAGCCTCGGTCTTCCTCCTGCGGGAAGGGCCGGCTGAGGCGGCCTCCGGCTCCACTCCCATCTGCAGCCCCAAGGAGTACACTTTCCACTTGGGCTCTGTCCCAGCAGGGCTGGCCCCCAGGAGAGAGGGGTGGGGAGGGGCCCTGGCCCAAGGGGAGGGAGAGCCGAGGAGGCCTCTTAGTCCTCTCCAGGCCGACCTTCCGGTGACTTCCGTGGCGTGGGTGACCTTAAGGCTCCCTCTGCGAGCCCCGCCCTCCAGGAGCACCTGGCTGCAGAGG